AGACAGGGTCTTGCTCCGTCGCCCAGGCTGGAATACAGTGGCACAATCACAGCTCACTGCAGCTTCCAACTCCTGGGCTCAAGTGATCCTCCCACCTACCTCAACTTTCCTGAGTAGCTGGAACTACAGGCATATTCCACCACACTCAGCTAATTTATTAATTTTTGTAGAGACCAGGTCTTGCTGTGTTGCCCAAGCTGGTCTAGAACTCCTGGCCTCAAGCAATCCACCCACCTCCACCTCTCAAAGTGCTAAAATTACAGTGTGACCCACAATTTTGGTTTACATCAGGAACCTGGGTGGGTAAATCAAATAATCCTGAGTAATCATCAATCTTGGAAAATCAAGTTATAGGGCTTAGGTAAGGAGTGCCATCCCAAGCAACCAACATCTTCTCATCACCCAGATGTCAGTCGGCTCTGCCAGCCTACCCCACCCACAAAATCACCATCCTAAACATGGGATAGCCCCTGACCCCAGCACTTGATTATCTGTATTCTTCAAAAGACAGATGGGTCTGGAACTTTTCTCATCAAAATTTACTAGAGCTTCAAAAAGAGAGAAATTTTCTGTTTCCTCCTTTTAGTTCTTTCCCCGCCACAGACCCCAAGCTCTGTTTTCTTTTGCCCTAATACTCTCGTTTCTTTTGTCCTACTTGTCCCCATTTAAAGTCCCATGTCTGTGAAAGAAGTTTAGGCTAGGAGTCCTATGTTGCACATTTTCTTCTCCTTTTATAGTGGTACAGTGAAATATTAGTCATCTGTCTGTATCCAAGAGAGATGTGCTCCCATATCAAAATTCACAGATGTTCAAGTTCCTAATATAAAATGGTATGTGCCAGGCGCGGTGGCTCACGCCTGTAATCCCAGCACTTTGGGAGGCCGAGGCGGGTGGATCACGAGGTCAAGAGATCGAGACCATCCTGGTCAACATGGTGAAACCCCATCTCTACTAAAAATACAAAAAATTAACTGGGCATGGTGGCGCGTGCCTGTAATCCCAGCTACTCAGGAGGCTGAGGCAGGAGAATTGCCTGAACCCAGGAGGCAGAGGTTGCGGCGAGCCGAGATCACGCCATTGCACTCCAGCCTGGGTAAGGAGAGCGAAACTCCGTCTCAAATAAATAAATAAATCGGTATGTTTACATACAACCTATGAACATCCTCCCCTATATTTTTTAATAATCTCCAGATTACTGAAAATATAAATGCTATGTAAATAGTTGTCATATTTTGTTGGGTTTTATTTGTATCTGTATTGTTGTATTATTATTATTTTCTTTCTGAATACTTTTTTTTTTTTTTTTTTTGAGATGAAGTTTTGCTCTTGTTACCCAGGCCGGAGTGCAATGGAGCATTCTCGGCTCACTGCAACCTCCGCCTCCTGGGTTCAGGCAATTCTCCTGACTCAGCCTCCTGAGTAGCTGGGATTACAGGCACGCGCCACCATGCCCAGTTACTTTTTTGTATTTTTAGTAGAGACGGGGTTTCACCATGTTAACCAGGATGGTCTCCATCTGTTGACCTCATGATCCACCCGCCTCGGCCTCCCAAAGTGCTGGGATTACAGGCGTGAGCCACCGCGCCCGGCCTCTTTCTGAATACTTTTGTTGAGAGGTTGGTTGAATCTGTGGATGCAGAACAGCCGATATAAAGGTTTGATTGTAGTTAATTCGGCTCTTTTCTTTTGTTTTACAGTACTGCTCCTTGCAGAGTAGGGCTATCTCATAGGCAGTGATCCCAGAGTCGGCTACTTCAGCATTTTCATGAAGGTAAATCTTATATATCCCCAATGCAACAATATCTAGGCTGTTAAAGCTAAAAAGAAGAGAAATCCCATGAAACTAGGTCCAGCTTTTGGCAACTGAAGTTCGGATAACCTGATCCTTCCCTTTTCTGCAGCAGGGATTGCAAAATGGCTACAAGACTTGGTGCAGCAACCTCTCGCTGGACAAATTCCAACGCCAGAATTCTAGTGCCATACAGATAACTCCCAGAAAAAAAAAAGTCTGCCTCTGATTACTTACCATACAATTTAATATCCAAATTTCTTTCATGTAAGTAACACTCCAGACACTTGTTTTCTGAAAATATTATCTGAAATCCTGATAATGTTCCCAGGCCACATTTTCGATTTTGTTTTCTCCCTAAACCACTCCTGAGTATGTACCAAAGCAGACACTCAACAAATGTTTCAGTAACAGCGTTCAACAAATGTAATCAATAAATGGGTCGATGGGAACAGTGGAGGCAGGGGAAAGCAATTAGAGAAGAATCAGGATCTAAACGGATCTTAGCGGCAGGGGACAAGGAAACTAAGCTGATCTGAGTGGTTCCATAGTCACCTCCTGCTCAAAGCCCCGGGACGGCTTATCTTTGCTCTCAGCGAGGTCAGTGAGGCCAACGAGGCCCCGGGCGGAACTGCCTCGCTCCCATTCCGGCCACGCCCCAGTCCGCTCAACCTTCCGGCCTCGCTAAAATGCTCCTCTGTTCCCGGGGCCGTTCTTCCCTTCCTCCTCCCTGGCTCACTGCTACCGGCCTCTCAGATCTCACCCGAGGTGACTTCCTTGGGGTCCCCTGACCTCCCTGCCCAGGTCTAGTCTCCAACATTTCAGCCTCCCAGCACAGCATGTCACTTCGCGGATTCTTCCATCCCCGTGTCTCCTAACCAGACCGGAAGCTTCCGGAGGGCAAGCCTGTGTGTAGAGGTTGTAACACTTGCCCCAGACCACCTTGCAGGCGGCTTCGGTCCCCGGAGACCTAACAGCGCCTGCCTCGAAGCCCATTTGGGAATGAGTTGGGCATAGGTGACCCTACGGGGCCCTGTGAGGAACGTCCATACCCACTCGGAGACCGGCTTCCCCTCTCCGGTTGTATCAGCCCACCCAAAGGGTAAAGTCTCAGGTGGTCCAGAAGGGCGTGGTGGCTCCCGCCTGTAATCCCAGCACTTTGGGGGACCAAGGTGGGCGAATCACCTGAATTCAGGAGTTGGAGTCCAGCCTGGCCAACGTGGCGAAAACCCGTCTCTACTCAAAATACAAAAATTAGCTGGGCATGGCGGCGCCTGCGCATAATCCCAGCTACCCGGGAGGCCGAGGCGGGAAAATGGCTGGAACCCGTGTGCTGGAGGTTGCAGTGAGCCTAGGTCGCGCCACTGCACTACAGCCTGGGCGACAAAGCGAGACGCCGTCTCAAAAAATAAATTAATTAAATAACAACAAAAAACGTTTCGGCCGGGCGCCGTGGCTCCGGCCTGTAATCCCAGCACTTTGGAAGCCGAGGCGGGTGGATCACTTCAGGTCAGGAGTTCGAGACCACCTGGACCAATATAGTGAAACTCCATCTCTCTTAAAATTTTTTTCGTAGGATCCCCAAAGAAATCACGTACATATTTACATGTAAATACATAAATCCTGGGAGGTGGTGTGATTGGTGGGATCTCGATTTCCTCAAGTGGACTGTGAGAACGATATTTTGAGAATTCAGTTACTAAAAGGAAGAGCCCAGCTTCTAGCCCCGTGGGCTAGAAGATCTCAATCAGCGTTGACTATTGTCATTATCACTTGTTATTTAAAGGCTTTCTTGGACTTTGTTTTACCTCCTCTTAAAAACTCTTCAATCCCATTGTCTGACCCTCCTTAGGGCGAATCCTCTCATCTCCATTACAATGAAAGCATGTGGTGTCCCGTAATCGTCATACTTCACCTTGGTGGAAAGCTGATTACCAGCGGCAAACTCAAAAAAAAAAAAAAAGGAAAACCGCTCCAAGGCAAACACTGCTTTTCACCTTCAGACTATTACTTCCAGTCTGACTAACATGGTGAAACCCTGTCTCTACTAAAAATACAAAATTAGCCTTGCTTAGTGGCCTATAATCCTAGCTACACAGGAGGCTGAGGCAGAAGAATCACTTGAACCCCGAGGGCAGAGGTTGCAGTGAGCTGAGATCGCACCACTGCACTGCAGCCTGGGTGACAAGAGCAAAACCACGTCTTTAAAAAAAAAAAAAAAAAAAGGTAATGTATTCATCTAACCTTTGTAAAAGCAAAAGATTGGGAATAAACTCAGAAGTCATTTTGTAGAGAATTAAGTGGAATAATACCCAGCTGTAAAGAAGGGAAAATAATCTACAGTATAATTGCTTGTATTTGCATTTTTTAAAAACTCTGGAATAGACATTCAAAAAAATACTTTTAATTCTTAGGAAGTAGGAGATGCATGAATATGAAATGAGATAGGAGGGAGACTTACCATTTTAGGTTTTTCTTTGATACAGATTTTCCTTTTGCCCAGGGTAGAGTGCACTGGTGTGATCATAGCTCACTGTAACCCCAAGTTCCTGGGCTCAAGCCAACCTCCTGCCTCAGCCTCTTGAGTACTTAGGACTACAAGCATGTGCCACTATGTCCAGATTATTTTTTGAGATGGAGTCTCACTCTTGTCACCCAGGATAGAGTGTAATGGCATGATCTCGGCTCACTGCAACCTCAGCCTCCAAGGTTCACTCCACTCCAGCCTGGGCGACAAGTGGGAAACTCAGTCACACACACATACACACACACTTGCTACACAGACAATGGTTCTGACTTTATATATTTTAGACGGGGTTTCACCATGTTGGTCAGGCTGGTCTTGAACTCCCGACCTCAGGTGATCGGCCCACCTTGGCCTCAAAAGTGCTTGGATTACAGGCATGAGCCACCACTCCAGGCCGACTTCCCATATTTTTGTTGGAGACATTTGCTTTCCAGCTTATATACAAAATATCAACCTATTATAGGTTTGTTTCCAAGTGAGTCCAGGTCAGTTGAGACAATCATTACCTCTCCAATAGATTTTTAGTTCAGTTTTGCATCTCAGGACCCTAACCCCTAAAGTGTGCCTTTGGACCCTCTTTTTGTCTTTAGAGGGTTTCAATTAAGGGTTAAGCTCAGGGCCACACCTCAGCTGTGTTTCAGAGATATTTAAGGTAGTACCTGCAATCCATCAACAACACTGATCTACTTACTGATTTAAAACTTTATTGTTAGTTTTTAAAATGGGGAAGAAAAACTTTTATTGGCAACCATCAAAGATATTCACAACAAAACTGAGACCCAAGGTAGAGACCCCTAAAGGGATGATTTTCCCTCAACTCCTCAGGCTGGAACAGATTTTAAACCAAGCTGGAGAAATCACTGCAACGCTGGCCACAAACTAATCTCTACATCCTGGCCTTCATCCTGGTTGCAAGCTGGTTCAGTTCATCCAAGGGCTCAGTTCGAGGGCATTCATGGCTTCCTCAAGTTTGAGCATCCCTGCACCAGAAATAGCAACAGCTGCGTGAGTATCGGGGCAGACAGTAAGAACCCAGACGATTCTCCGCCTCTTTCACGGTTCGTTTCTGGGACTTCTGAACCAGGCGTTCTGAGAGTCAGGTCCGGAACCTCGGAACCCCAGACTACTCGGCACATTTGAACATTCTCCAAGAAACCGAAGGGGCGGGGAGACGGTTGAGATAGCTCAGATAACTCTGCCCAGGGAATCTAGCACCGGCCCGCCTCTCATCATAGTCTCGCTCCTAGGTCTCCAAAACCAAGGGCTGGCACTCTGGGGCCCCCATTCCCAAAGGGGTCTCGGGAAGGCCCAGACGCCAAGGACGCCCCTGGTGAGGCCCAAGTTGCGGGAAGTGAACAAGAGAGAGGAGAAAGACCACAGAGCTGGAGAACAGGCCAGAAGCGGTCCCCACGAGCCTGTGTTCGCGTACCCGATCCCCAGGCCTCTCACCTCGCTCCTGGCGCTGGCGGTGCCACTCAGCCATAGACTGGAGCATCCACTTGGCTCGAAGCTTGTATATATAGGAGCCGTAAACCACGACCTCGGTGAAGTCTGGAGACTCCAGAGCTTTCAGCTCGAGCATAGCCTTGCTCACCTGCTCGATGTAAGGGATTCGACATCCGTCCCGGCCTGTTGGAGGAAAAGAATGAGAGCCCCGGGCGGGCTGAGACGCCCAGGCCGAGGCATCCCCCGCCAGTACTGGGCACACTCACCGAACATGGCTTCCAGCAGCCGCGTCTGGACCTGGAACACTTCTGGATCTTTCAGGTCTTCGGGCACTTTCACCCACGGCGGGATATTTCTGCGTTCCGGGAGCGTTCCCATCTTATGACCCTCGCAAGCAAAACCACGCTCCAGCGCAAGCCAGGCCTGGCCGCGCCTCAGCGCCGGTAAAGCCTCACACCTAGAGGCCCCGCCCCCAGCCCGGCCCAGCCCCCAACCCGGGCCAGGACCCCGAGTCCGCCCCCCGCCACCCTGGCTGCGGTTCAGCAGGCTGCAGTCTCTTCTGCTTCCCGCGACCTCAGGATAGCCTCACCCGGGCCCAGCTGCCTGCAAGTTAACTAGGGTTTCCACCTGCGTTGACCTGTGTCTTTTGCACCAGAATCCTGTGGGCTTCGGAATAGCTAGGGGAAGGGCACTGTTGACTCTTCTCCTAGGGAACAACCCCTGGGGCCTGAACCTCGGAAAAAGGGCGTCCAGGCTTCAGGGTGCGAGGACCACGCAGTAGCTGCCAAATTGACTTCCTGCCTCCCATGTTCCAAAGGAGGGTCAGTATCCCCTCGGACCTAAGGGGCAGGACCCGCGGCTCTGCTTTGCTGGCGACCTGGCAATGTCCCAGGAACTCTGGAGGAACTGGTGCCACTGAACAATGAAGAAACCGAAATTCAGAAATTTTGTTATCTTACCTGAAGGAATTATCATTCCTCGAAGTCCCTGACTCTAGAGCCTTTGAACCTACCCTGATTTTAAAGCTGACCTGTGCCCTGCGTGGGCACTCTGGCCAAAACCTGTCCAGGCTCCTGGCTCGTTTCTAAATTTTGTTTATTCGTTTTTTAAACACAATGGTTTGGAGCGATGCACTGGATTTACTCGATTAGAGTGTGATTTCACTGTTTTATGCCTTTATGGTGATGAACTGGCATTTCCAGTCCTGGTAACATCTAATATCCCATCAGCTGTTCACTATTGACGGCTTCTTAGGGCAAACCTCTTCTCACACACACACCCCCACACACGCAAAACTATGGGCGGGGGCAACCACCAATGTAGTTAATTTAGAAAACGATCATCAATAGCTAAACTCAGATGAAGACTGTTGAGGAACTAGCCACAAGGTTTGGAAGCCCTAGCACACAGATTATGAATTAAAAAGGAGAAAAAAACGTTTCTTTACAATAGAGACTTGGAAGAAGCCACCTTAACCCAAATTAGCATCACCAATAATTGGACCAATGGACTTCTGGTTTGACATTATCTAGGAAACAAAAAGAGGACTGTTTTATTAATTGACTAAAGAGACACAAAATAATATGTGCATGGTTCAAATCCAAATCAAAGGTGGGGAGTGCATTTCAGGACAATGAAGGAAATTTTAATATGCCGTATATTGCAAAGTAGTATTAAAAGCTTCTAACGTTTAGAAACTTACAGAGTGGGATAAGTGTTCTACAATTATGTAAGATAAGGTAATCTCAGGAGAAACACATGTATGTTTCTATTTTTTTAAAATAAAAGTTATATCCATGGGAAAGCGAGAACACAGTCCCCCACTACCACAAATTATGCAGTCGAGTTTCCCACATTTCAGGAAATCGCAGGGGTCAGCACATCCGGAGTGCAATGGAGAAGCCTCGCCCTGGGAAAACCACCTTCGTGATCATGGTATCTCCCCTGCCATGATCTTATATACACATGTAAGTATGTGCATATATGTTTCTAAAGTAAGTAGAGTGAATTTGTTTTCGTTGTTTTTATTTATATTATATTTTTTTGAGGAGGAGGAGGAGTCTTGCTCTGTCATCCAGGCTGGAATGCAGTCGCATGATCTCGGCTCACTCACTGCCGTCTCTGCCTACCAGGTTCAAGCAATTCTCCTGCCTTAGCCTCCTGAGTAGCTGGGATTACAGGTGCCCACCATCACACCCAGCTAATTTTTGTATATTTAGTAGAGACAGGGTTTCACCATGTTGGTCAGGCTGGTCTTGAACTCCTGACCTCGTGATCTACCCGCGTCAACCTCCCAAAGTGCTGTGGTTACAGATGTGAGCCACCATACCCAGCCGTAATCAACTTTCACTTTCCCATCTCCCATTCCTCCGACAGCCCAAGCTCCATTTTTCCTGTCACTCAGACTGTTATGAAAAGCAACTCTCACTTCTACTTCTGTATACCTTACTTATTCCTGAACCCATCATTCCAGGGTACTTTCCTTTGCATTTCAACAAAAGGGACTCTGGACCTGCACTGTCCAATACAGAAGTCACTGGTCACATGAGGACTGGAAATGTGTCTAGTCTGATTTGAGATGTGCTATAAGTATAAACTACATGTAAGATTTTGATGACATTATTGGGAGGCCGAGGCGGATGGATTCCGAGGTCGAGATACCGAGATTATCCTGGTCAACACGGTGAAACCCCGTCTCTACTAAAAATACAAAAATTAGCTGGGCACGGTGGTGTGTGCCTGTAATCCCAGCTACTCAGGAGGCTGAAGCAGGAGAATTGCCTGAACCCAGGAGGCGGAGGTTTCGGTGAGCTGAGATCACGCCATTGCACTCCAGTCTTGGTAACAAGAGCGAAACTCCGTCTCAAAAAAAAAAAAAAAAAGATTTTGATGACATTAATACCAAGAAATTAAATATTCTCATTAACCATTTTAGATTGATTGTATGCTAAAATGATAATAGGTTTTTTTAAAAATATATATATATTTTTCAGTTAAGACAGGGTCTCATTGGCTGGATGGGGTGGCTCATGCCTGTAATCCCAGCACTTTGAGAGGCCAAGGCTGGTGGATCACCTGACCTTGGGTCAACCTCAGGGGTTCAAGACCAGGCTGGGCAACATAACAAAACCTCATATCTACAAAAAAGACAAAAATTAGCCAGGTGTGGAGGTACATGCTTATAGTCCTATCTATTGGGGAGACTGAGGCACAAAGAATTCTTTGAACCCAGGAGGTGGAGGTGGCAGTGAGATAAGATTTCGCTATTGCACTCCAGACGGGGTGACAGAGTGAGATCCTTTGTCAAAAAAAAAAAAAAAAAAGACAGGGTTTCTTGCTATGTTGCCCAGGATGGTCTCAAACTCTTGCACTCAAGGGATCCACCCACCAAAATGCTGAGATTACAGGCTCAAGCCATTGCGCCCAGCCAAAATGATAGTATATTGGATATATTAAGGTACATAGGACATAATATTAAAATTCATTTCACATGTTTCTTTCCACTGAGGCTATGAGAAAGCCTCATTGTATTATTTGTCTCTCATTCTATGTCAGTTGAACAGCATTGTTTTAGATGGTTTCCTACAACTTTCTAAGTATCTAATCCCAAACTCTTCTATATGTACATGTATAGATATATATTTCTGCACCTGGCCTCTTTTTTATATTTCTTATCAAGTATAATAAGAAATGGTTTCCTTTACTGTTAGAGGGTCTTCCTATCCTCTGTCCTTTTCCTCTTCCCTGCCGATAGCTTAAATGTTGGCGGTACTGAGTACATCGTTCACCTCTTCCCTTTATTACCTTATTACCATTTGTCATTCTTTCTAGGTAGTTTTGTCTACAGCTCACATTATAATTTCCAAACATAGATTTCCAGAATCACTGAGTGCTTCATCAGTAGCTTATTATGCTTTTTTGCTTTATTTTGTTTTGTTTTGATTTGAGACAGGGTCTTGCTGTCACTCAAGCTGGAGTGCAGCGGCTGCAGTGCAGTGACAGTCACCGCTCACTGCAGTTTCTACCTCCGTTTTTTTTTTTTTTCTTTTTTGAGACTGAGTTTTGCTCTTGTTGCTGGAGTGCATTGGTGCAACCTCCAATTCCTGGGTTCAAGCGATTCTCCTGCATCAGCCTTACAAGTAGCTGGGATTACAGGCATGCACCACCACACCCAGCTAATTTTTTTTTTTTCCCCCGAGACGGAGTTCGCTGTTGTTACCCAGGCTGCAGTGCAATGGCACGATCTCGGCTCACCACAACCTCCGCCTCCTGGGATCAGGCAATTCTCCTGCCTCAGCCTTCTGAGTAGCTGGGATTACAGACACGCGCCACCATGCCCAGCTAATTTTTTGTATTTTTAGTAGAGACGGGGTTTCTCCATGTTGGTCAGATTTGTCTAGAACTCTTGACCTCAGGTGATCCGCCGACTTTGGCCTCCCAGAATGCTGGGATTACAATCGTGAAACACCTCCAAGGTTTAAGGGATCTTCCCACCTCAACCCCCAGTAGCTGGGACTACAGGCACAAAGCACCACGCACAGTTAATTTTTGTGTTTTGTTTGTTTCTGTTTTGTTTTAATTTGTTTTCAGAGAGACAGGGTTTCGCCAGGTTGCCCAAGCTGTTCTCCAGCTCCTGGGCTCCAGCAATCCTCCCTCCTTGGCCTCCTCGAAAAGTGCTGGGATTATAGGCGTTAGCCACCACACCTGCCCTGTACTTTTCCATCTTCATGTTCTCAAGGTTTCTAAAACTCTACTGGTTCCAAAGCAAACACATTAGCTTCTCTCCCCTTTGGCTCCTCTGCTTATTTTGGATTTTGTTTTTTGTTTGTTTGTTTTGAGGTAGAATCTCACTGTCACCCAGGTTGGAATGCAGCAGCATTGTCTGGGCTCACTGCAGCCTCCTCCCAGGTTCAAGCTATTCTCCTGCCTCAGCTTCTCGAGTAGGTGGGACTACAGGTGCCCACCACCACACCTGGCTAATTTTTATATTTTTCTTTTTAGTAGAGATGAGGTTTCACCTTGTTGACCAGGCTAGTCTCGAACTCCTGATCTCAAGTCATCCGCCGGCCTCAGCTTCCTAAACTGCTGGGATTACAGGCTTGAGCCACCACGCCTGGCCCTATTTTGTTTTCGAAAACATATGCCCAGTCCGGTTTAAATGATTTCAACAATTACCTTTCATCTGTTTTCTACCCATTAACTGCAAGTCTTGTCAGTTCCACCTCTGAAAATTTTCACAAACCTGTTTCCTTTCCAGACACAGTTCCTATGACCAAGTTGAGATGCCATTTTATACATATAAGTATAATCAGACAATATATGTAACTGTACATAAGCAGAAATGTGTGAGAGAAGTCAACTAAAATAGCTCTCAGCATAATAACTAACAAGACAGTAACTGGTCTCTCTCTTTTTTTTGTTTTTTCCAGAGGAGTCTTGCTGTGTCGCCCAGGCTGGAGTGCAGTGGTGCCATCTCGGCTCACTATAACCTCCGCCTTCCGGGTTCAAGCGATTTTTCTGCTTCAGCCTCCAGAGTAGCTGGGATTACAGGTGTGTGCCACCACGCCCAGCTAACTTTTTTGTATTTTAGTAGAGATGGTTTTTATTTTTATTTTTCTTTTGAGATGGAGTTGCGCTGTTGTTACCCAGACTGGAGTGCAATGGCATGATCTCGGCTCACCGCAACCTCCGCCTTCTGGGTTCAAGCAATTCTCCTGCCTCAGCCTCCCGAGTAGCTGGGACTACAGGCATGCACCACCATGCCCAGCTACTTTTTGTATTTTTAGTAGAGACGGGGTTTCACCTTGTTGACCAGGATGGTCTCGATCTCTTGACTTCGTGATCCACCCGCCTCGGCCTCCCAAAGTGCTGGGATTATAGGCGTGAGCCACCACGCCCGGCCAGAGATGGGGTTT